GCATTTCTTTCAGGTTATCAGTCTTTTTTCTTATTGAGCTGTAGAAAATCAACTCTTACTGATATGAAATGCAAGTGTTTTTCCAGTTCATTGTATATCTTTGGAATTTCCTTATGGGTTTCTGTCTATTTCTCTCCAACTCTACTGCTGGACCAAGGCTCAATCAGCTCTCACCAAGCCTACCAAAACTTCCTACCAAATCTCTGCTTTCATTCCTGCCTCTTGGATACTATTCTTTCTCTATAAGACACAGTGGCCTTGATGAAATATGAATCACATCATACTACATCCCTACTCAAAATGCCCCAAGGGCTACTCTCAGAAGATTTAAATCTAAACCACACACCTTGCTTACTTCTTTGAACTAATCTTCTACTGTTCTGTCTAGAGCAGCGGTTCTCAACCTGTGGGTTGAGACCCCTTTGGGGGTCAAACGACCCTTTCACAGGGGTCGCCTAAGACCATCCTGCATATCAGATATTTACATTACGATTCATAACAGTAGGAACATTACAGTTATGAAGTAGCAACGAAAATAATTTTATGGTTGGGTCACAACATGAGGAACTCTATTTAAAGGGCCAGAAGGTTGAGAACCACTGGTCTAGAGAATAATCTTCTTTGGGATCCTTGAACAAGCTGAACTTGTTGTGTCTATGGCTTTTGTGCTTTGTGCCCTTTGCGGTCCAATGTTATTTTTGGAATTCAAACAGCCTGGTCTAAATTAATTGACGGGATTGAATGTTGAACTTTTTAATGTCCTTATTGCTCGACGTTGGACCTGCTCCTAGCACCTGGTCTATCGAGTCAGCCTTGAGGTTGGACCGAAAAGGGTTTAATATTCCTTCTGACTGGAATGTCCCTCACCATATTTCACAGGGTTTGTTTCTCCCTCAGTTGGCATCAGCACGCATGTCACATCATGAGAGAGGCCTCCCATTCCCATCAAGGTCAAAATGGCAAACATGCCCTAACCGGTTTGGCTCAGTGGATAGAGCGTCGACCTGTGGACTGAAGGGTCCCAGGTTTGATTCCGGTCAAGGGCATGTACCTTGGTTGTGGGCACATACCCAGTAGGGAGTGTGCAGGAGGCAGCTGATCGATGTTTCTCTCTCATCGATGTTTCCAACTCTCTATCCCTCTCCCTTCCTTTCTGTAAAATATCAATAAAATATATTTAAAAAATTTTTTTTAAAAATGGCACACATACCTATACCCATACCCCCAGTTTCCATTTTTCCTCTGACTCTTTGTGTTATCTTTATTTTAGTGTTTAGCATAATATCTAGAATATAAGAAATTCTTAATATTTTACACAAAAGTATGCCTCAGAATAAAAGGATATTGTCTTACATTCAGATTCTTATAATTCTTTCATATTTAAGAGAATTTTTGAAATTATTTTATTTTAAACAGATATTGTTTGGAGAACACAAATTGAAAAGCAAATTCAATGCTATTTTTAAATGCTTATACAGGTCATTTGAACTGTTTTAAAGGAAAAAGGGGGAAAAAAGAAAGCACAATAATGCAAATAATTTAGTTTAGGGGCTTTTTTGGCGAGGAGGAGAGGGTATGACCTTATAATTGCAAAAATAATCATGTAAACAAGCCTTTCAAATATCACTTAAAAAAGCAATATAGCAAATTAAATATTATAATGATAGTGAAAAGGAAAAAAAACACCTATCCTAACGTTAGATAAATAGACACTATAGCTTAGCATAAAAATTACATTGATAGCATCCTATACAGATTAGAAGATGGTTGAAGCACCCTCAATTTGCCTGAGAAACAACCTTGATTCATAACAGACATATTAAAGAGAAACAAATTTTTTGTTGTTGTTAAGCTACTAAGATTCAGGGTTATGTTTTTTTTTTATTTTTTTTAAACAAAGCATAATCTAGCCAATACTTACAAATACAATGATCTACTGTACAATATAACCTTGAATTTCAATATAAAATCTAAAGGCAGATTCATTTGGTTTATTTATATCTTTTTGTTCTTCCCTACATTCTGTTAGGAACAAAGCAATGTGTAAAATGATTCTCTCTCTCTCTCTCTCTCTCTCTCTCTCTCTCTCTCTCTCTATATATATATATATATATATGTGTGTGTGTGTGTGTGTGTGTGTGTGTGTGTGTATTCTGTATATGCTGCCTTGAAATATTCTCACCTATATGTATAAAATTTAAAAGCTATTGCTTTTAAAAAATAAAAATAATTTCTTAATTTCATCAATCATATAGAGTTTCTATTTGTTTTAAAATATCATAACCACAGTGTTTAAAAATCAATTTTTGGATCTTATTTATGTATTTAGTTATTTATTAAGCATTTTTATTGATTTTAAAGAGGAAGGGAGAGGGAAAGATAGAAACATCAATGATGAGAGAGAATCATTGATTAGCTGCCTCCTGCACAACCCCCACTGGGGATCGAGCTGGCAACCCAGGCATGTGTCCTGACCAGAAATCGACTGTGACCTCCTGGTTCATAGGTTGATGCTCAATCATTGAGCCAACTTGGCCGGGCAGGATCTTATTTTTTTAAATGCCTGCATTTTTACAAAAAATATGAAAACCAAATATTTTATTCTAAAACAAAAAAGGAATACACATATTCACATGCACAGGGAGCTGGTAGTGTAAATTTACCAGATAGAGGTCTTTGTCCACACTGTTCATGCAAATAATCAAATCTCTGGTTTTATAAATGTTGAACCCATAATATAGAAGTATATTCTTTAATTAATTTAATGTTTTATAACAAGATGTAGTTTTATAATAGTAAACTGTATTTTTCATATTCCCATTTTCCATTGGATATGAAGATTTCTCAAAAGCTAGTTGGAGATGGCCACCCAATCTTCTTGAGAGTATTTGTGAACATACCACTTCCTTCTTCTTGGTGCATGTTGTGTGGTTATATGCTCCCTTGGAAAACCAGGGTTTTGACTGAGCTATGCTTAATGAAGAGTGATGGCATTATCTGCAGCAAGGGTAACTAACATAGTGTAAAGCCCATCATTCCCATTTGGATGTGTTTAATTCTAGCTTTCCCCTTATCCTTCTTTATTCACCCCTTTTATACCCATTCAACAACGGACACAGGGACCACAGCATATTTTTACCATATCGCACCAGCATGTGTTACCACATCTTTCTGTATGCTGTTTCATTTTTCTGTTTCTTTGTTTACAATTCTTAATTCTACAATTTTATCTCAGATTAGAATATGTTCTAATGACATAAAGGAATTCTATAATTATATGCATTGGTATGAGAATCTAATAATTACCAATAATGCTTCTTAACATTATTTACTGTTTTCTTAAAAGAAAAAGATGTGTTTTATTGCCCACAATATTCTATGAAACCATTGTTTGTTTTAATTATGAAGCTATTATTGTGAAGACGCTCTTTAATCATCATCATCCAGCTTGCAAATGTCACAGAACTGAATTACTAAGTTAGTGTCCATGACCTAGTTTATAATAATATGGCTTAAATCAGCCACTGTTCCAGAAGAGAAACAGCACGGTGTGGGCTAGATCAAGGCACTCCATGAGAGGCAGTTGTCCTGGACCTCATGCCCTCTAAGTAGCAGTGAGACCTCAGCATGACATTGAACTTCACAACATAAAATTAACACATGGACATAACTACATTTTACTAGTTAGAACACAGGAAATAGGGCAAGATGATATCTTCAGGTTCCTTCCTTTTTTAAAATATGTTTTTATTGATTTCAGAGAAGAAGGGAGAGGGAGAGAGAGACAGAAACATCAATGATGAGAGAGACTGATTGAGAGTGTGCCGTGACCAGAAATGGAACAGTGATGCTCAACCACTGAGCCAGGCTGGCCAGGCTGCAGGTCCCTTCTAACACTAAAACCATTGGCTGACTTAGAATCAGGGTCACTCATATTAAGAATTGAAAGTTGTAGAAATTACTTGGCTTTTTTGGGTGTAGATCTATTTGTCCAGAAATAATGTCTATTTATCTGAAAGACCTAACTAGATTAAAAAAAACAAACCTATTCTTCTAAGAAATTTTTGTTTTGTTTTGTTTTTTGTGTGTTTTTTTTTATTGCCTAAAGTATTACAAAGGGTATTACATATGTGTCCTTTTTTCCCCCCCGCCCTTGACAGTCCCCTAGCCTCCCCTATCCCCCAGTGTCTTATGTCCATTGGTTATGCTTATATGCATGCATACAAGTCCTTTGGTTGATCTCTTACCCCCCTACCTCCTGCCCCCCAACCCTCCCTGGCCTTCCTGCTGCAGTTTGACAATCTGTTTGAGGCAGCTCTGCCTCTGTATCTATTATTGTTCAAAAGTTTATAATGGTCTCTATTATCCATGAATGAGTGAGATCATGTGGTATTTTTCCTTCATTGACTGGCTTATTTCACTTAGCATAATGCTCTCCAGTTCCATCCATGCCGTTGCAAATGGTAAGAGTTCCTTCCTTTTTAGAGCAGCATAGTATTCCATCGTGTAGATGTACCACAGTTTTCTAATCCATTCATCTACTGATGGGCACTTAGGCTGTTTCCAGATCTTAGCTATGGTGAATTGTGCTGCTATGAAGATAGGGGTGCATATATCCTTTCTGATTGGTGTTTCTGGTTTCTTGGGATATATTCCTAGAAGTGGGATCGCAGGGTCAAATGGGAGTTCCATTTTCAGTTTTTTGAGGAAACTCCATACTGTCTATTTATCTGAAAGACCTAACTAGATTAAAAAAAACAAACCTATTCTAAGAAGAAATTTTAAAAAAGTATCAAAACTACCAAAAGATCTTTTCAATTTCATTGTTAAATATTATGACTCGAAAGAAAGAAAGAAAGAAAGAAAGAAAGAAAGAAAGAAAGAAAGAAAGAAAGAAAGAAAAAGAAAGGAAAGAGCAGTCAAGGAGTTAATGTTTTGTGAGTCAAGACAACTCTTTAAAGGCACAACTCCATAATTTTATCTTACAAATGTAACAGAAGGATGGCTGAGGATTTATTCCAAGTTTTCCAGTTTCAGGTTGCTGCACTGTGGACTAAAAGGAAAGCAGTAGGCCTGGATTGCAGAAGAAAGTCTTCTCTTCTCAAAGAAAGTTCTAGTAGAAGGACAGCACATTTAGATCCGGGAAAGTACTGATTGATAGAACATCCTCCCACCAACACTCGGATCAATTGGGATGGAACAGAGGAACAACACACAAAACCTTCAGCCAGTTCATTAAAAACATTTCTGTTTGAAATCTCTTTTTGATTTGTGGTTTTTCTTGATGACTTCTCCAGACATCTGCTTTTATTCTCCTACAACTTATTTCAAAGGATAATGAAAGGTGGGTAGAAAAGATTTTTCATGCTCTATGAGAAAAAGAAAGTATACATTATTTTTGTCCTTGCTTTGATCATTCTTTCCATGACTCTCCAGTCAGCTTCATAAACTATTACTGAGATCAAAACATAATTCCTGTTACCGCTCTGAACGAGTATCTGCCCAAACACAGTGCAGATGTTTCTTTCATTGGCCAGCTCAGGAGCACAGTTTTTAGAAATATATAGCATAGAAGTCCTATAACCCTGTTCATTAAAAACGGTTTGTCACTGACAAGGGTTCCTTGGAGTCTCAGCTTATAGAACAGCTTTGAAATAAGATTCAAGTGGCATTTCTTTTCATTTAGCTACAGGGGTGTACCTGTTGTCCCTAATGATCTCATTTTCCCCATTTTTGTTGTCCTCAGTTTCTCCCAACTGGAGACAAGAATGTCCTCCTGCTGGACCAGGCTGATCCCAGTTATCTAGCAGAGCCTGGTCAGGTCAGGAGATCAGAGCGGTTTTGTTCGCACCACCTATCAATAGAGCCTAGAACTCTTCTTCCTGCTTTATAATTGGCATGAATGTAGAAAACGCTTGGATTGGAGCTTAAGAACATTTTGTTGCAGGTTTTCCCCCCTCATTTTCCACTGTGTTAATACAATCATGACTTTACTCTGCTTTCTTTGTTGGACTTGAGATTCTCTCTGGGCTGGAGCTCACTTGGCTGACTCCAACTCCCAATTTGACTAGCATCCATCAAGTCTCTTTCCTGTGGACCCTGGCTCCTGGCAAGAGGTTTGCTGTGAGGAAGTGATAATCAGCATCAGATATGGATTCCTATTGTTGTTCTCCGCCTGACTGATGGGAACCCTTAGTTACTCAGCCTTGAGGCCACCATGACCTTTGGCTTTTGGGTGTTTGACTTTCTGGCTACTCCACCAGAAGCTAGCTGCTCAAGCCAGGTTGGTATTCCCATGCCCTGCTCTTCACTCTACCAGCTTCTCATCATTTCTTGGTTATACGTGTTGCTAAGGTACCAGGATGTCTCATGTTTCAGTCTGCCCAGTTTATGATACTATGACATTTTTCCTAATATGCACATATAAATGCATGTATTCCATTATCTTAAGATACACTCACTAAAGATGAAGGCACTGTATCTCCAACTTTCCCTATCCTCAGATGCTGATGTGGAAGAAGGTAGTCTTGAAGCTACTTGGAAGCCCTTGAAGTGACTTCTCAATTGACTCTAGAGAACCATAGTTACTATTTATAACCTGTCCATCCACTTCAGGATCTACGACATGCCTGCATGACACTTCATGTATCTACCAGAGGCTGATAGAAATCACTTCTCAGAATTCCATTTCATGTTGGTTTCTGGACTCCACAGAACTTCACAAGGCTTTCCTTCTCCTAACAACCCAATTGATTCCTAAAGTTGGTTTATATTTAGTCTCTGACTCAGTTAAGCAAAACCCATGATGTTGATATCTAAATAATATGATTTGACTTTATGGGTTCTGGTAGCTGAGATATCAAAGTTGTTCCTCTAGCACTGGAGTTTTATTTCCCACATCAGAACTTTAGTACTGCTGAGTTTCTTCCCATCTACTAAAAGCTTTTTTCTATCTACACAAGCTTTAATTCTCCTTGGCCTCCTAGAAATGATTTCTGGCATCTGGCCCAGATCATTTCTTCAACCTTATTCAGAAATCTTCATTTTCTCTAATATACCAAATCATAGCAAAGAATTCATTGCTCAGAATTCTTATTTTAACCATGCCCTTTGTAATGGAGATTAGATTCTTTTTGCAAACACAGAATATAAAGTTGAGGATAATCCCAGGAGAAGGTATAATTATGGCACATCTAGGGCCCTGGGAAGTGTTCTTGGTGTCCCTGCTTCCTGGGCTCACAGTGGACTACAAACTTAATGTGTTTGTGCAAATGAATGGCCAGGCAGCTTGTATGTTTTTGTCTTGGTCACTAAGAACTCCTGTTTATAATATTGTTTTGAAATCTGTCTGGCTTTTGTCTTCCTTTCAAGCTTCCAACCTGATACATATGAGTAATTTTTACCTTATGAATGTTTGTGTTTCCCTTATGGATGTTAGACGTCCTATCCAACGTGGTCCCCGGAAATTTTCATCACTATCATCCTGGGACTGCCTTCATCTCTCTTTTAAATTGAATTTACAGGTTGCTTGATCCTAGTCTTCCTCTTCTTTGTTTTTGCTGAAGCATATTCTCTGGTAGTTGCTTGAGAAGGGTTTTGTGAGAGTATGTTAGCGTTGAACCTGACAAAACAGAACCCATGGGAGACAGACACTAAGGGATTTTTGCAAGGAAAGGGCTTCTGTGATGTGGGAGCTGAATAGGCAAGTCTGAAATCCATAGGGGAGTAGTCTTTCAGGAAAGGCAGGTTGGAAGTCTCAGCTACAGGCTGATGCTTCAGTCCACAGGTGGAATGCTTTACTAGTACTTCCTCCAGAAACCTCAGTTCTGCTCTTAAAGCCTTTCCACTGATTGGATCAAGCCTACCTGGCATATCTAAAATAATCTGTTTTACTTAAATTTAACTGATTATAAATGTCTACTTTCTCTGTTTTTTCTTGATGTCCTAAAAGTTGTCTAAAAGCAATAAGAAAAGCTTGATTAGCCATCCTTATTCAATGAGTGTACACCCCAGGTGACTTAAATACAATATCTCTTTTTCTTAGATATTATCGAATAAGTTGCTATGAACCTTTACTTTTGGTTCCCTTTTTTCTAGTCTCAGTTTGAATCTCTGTGCTTCCATCAACACATCCCAGCCTTTCTACAGATAATAAGTGGATATAATTAACTTACCGCTTTTTAAATTTACATTTGGTTCCTTGCCTGGATTTTTTTTATCTCCTCAGGAAAAAGAAAAGATCATGAAAAAGAAAAGATCTCATGAATATGGAACTTCTACAGCTGGCTACTTTTATCTACTGTAGTCTCCTCTTTTCCATGGGGTTTATGCTCCAAGACCCCCAGAGGATGCCTGAAACCAAGGACAGTAACACACCTTATACATACTATTTTTTCTTATATGTCCATACTCATGATAAAGTTTAATTTGTAAATTAAGCACAGTAAGAAAGCCCTGGCTGGGTAGCTCAGTTGGTTAGAGCATCATCCTGATATGCCAAGGTTTCGGGTTCCATCCCCAGCCAGGACAAGTGAAACAACAAATTGATGCTTCTCTTTCTCTCTCCCTCCCTCTCTTTCTCTTTCCCTCTCACTCTCTAAAATGAATGAATAAAAATTTAAAATAAAAGAGAAAATAGGCATAATAATAGATTAGCAACGATAACAATAAAATAAAACAATTAAACAATATACTGTAATAAAACATATGTGAATGTGGCCTCTCTATCTCTCAAATATCTTTTTGTATGTACTCACCCTTGGTCTTCTTGGGATAATGTGAGATGATAAAATGCCAATGTGATGAGATGAAGTAAGGTGGATAAAACATTATTAAGTAAAATAAGGGTTACTTGAACACAAGCGATACCATGACAGTTGTCTGATAACCTAAATGACTACTAAGTGACTAATGGGCAGGGAACATACACAGGGTGGAGACACTAAACAAAGGGACAATTCACACCTTGAATGGAATGTCACAAGATTTCATTACACTACTCAGAACAGCTAGCAATTTAAACCTTATAAATTTTTTCTGGCATTTTCCATTTAATATTTTCAGACAATCATTGACCATAAGTAACTGAAACAGTTGAAAGCAAAACTGAGGATAAGGGGAGAATACTGAGCTGTGTTTCAATTCTTAATACATTCAGTCTCATATTTTGACCTTTTTCTGATCTTGCCTAAGATTCTAAGAGTTTCTCAGTATAGCCATTCAGATAATATAAACTGTACATAAATTTGAACTTCTGGTATGAAAATTCTAAGAATGTGGACATTCTGTTCTTTAATCATTAGAAAGAAAATTACAAAGTTTAGCATCCAATTTGCTACTTACTACTATGACAAATTCCACCGTAAATAGCATGGGAAAAACACATTCCAGCTTCATCTACATTAGGAATGAATTCAATTCATAACCTTCCCCAGTTGGCTTTAGAAGTACTAGCAATCCCTTCCCATATCCTTATCTATAGCTTCAGCTTCCAACCAAGTCCCTGAGACATATGGTTCTGTATTTCTTGGAAAGTTTACTGCAATTCATTACTATGTTCAAAATCCCTTGACTCCAGTTACAATGCTGGGGTAATTACTCCAATGTGGAAAAGAGTCAAATGCATGTGAACGTGCTTCTCCAATAATTTCTACTCCAAATCTTCAAAGCAACAACACATATTGTTGCTTAGATTTTAGAATTGTAGGGTGGAAGCTGTTAAGTGTTGTGCATAATGCTACTTTGGACAGTGAGTATTGGGAGTACATGGGCTTTATTCAGCTTTGAACCCTTGGTATTTAAAAATATTCTACACCAAAGAAAGGGCTGGTCTGCATCACTGCTACTCAATAGTAGCTTTGTCAACAAGCAACTAGATCAACCAAATGAAATATTCACAATCATAAGTAGTTGGGGCAACATTACTTATTGTCAAACTATTTTAATGCTATGGAATCTATCTTACAAATGATTCATGTGGAACCCCAATATATAAAACAGATAAGGAAAGGATTGTTCAGGTTCAGGAGTATGAGATGCAAGTGAGTTTAGCTTTCTCTTCATATCATTGTGGTCAGCAGAGCACATCTGTAGAATTTCAGAGCTCCTCAGAACAAGCCAGGAAAACCATAATCTATATTAGTTCCAAGAACACTTTGCTTATTTGCTTAATAATATATTGATTACTTTTTCTATGTAAGGTGTAGCCAATAAGCACAGTTGGTGAGCCAACTTTTGGGAGGACTCATTGTACATAGCCTTAAAATAAACATCCAAGGGAAGAAATTACCATGGGAAATGAAATTTATGAACCCGGAGAGAATCTTCCATGAAAACATAAGAAGGGCACTATTATGGAAAAAAAACTTGGAGCAGAAATGAATATAATCACAACCAAATATTAAAAAACATACTAAATAGGGCACACCTGACCTTGCTTGATCTGGGAAACTATGTAGAGCTAATCTTGGTAAATATGTAGATAGGAAATGCCCAAGGTTACCAAATAGTTTTGGAGCAAAGATGTAGCCATGCTTACCAGGAAGTCATTAAACATAATGCTGTACTCACCAGCACCTTGGCACAGTTGTTTGGCTTGTTGTGAACACAAATATAACTGAGACACACCAGGATCCTAAAGTGCTTTATGAGTCACCAAGAGAAGATTACACTACATCCAGCAGAGGTATAGTTATACAATTATACTAGAGTATAATGTAATGTAATAATAAAGATGATTTATAGCATAGCTGTGTATTATTATTGTTAGAAATCTGTTGGCAACCTTATATGATATATCCATATAAGTAACCAGAATATCTATAAGGTCTGGCTATTGTATTAACTGACTGTACCACATAAGAGAAGTTCCTATATACAGTGCTGAAGAGAAGCTAAAGTCATCAAAGGGACCATAATCTCTCTGTATATAAAAGCCTAAGTGACCATTATGACCAGAACGACCAGTTGACCAGTCGCTATGATGTGCACTGACCACCGGGGGCAGACGCTCAACACAGAAGCTGACAGGAGCTGCCCCTTGGTGGTCTGTGTGCTCCCACAGCCAATCCTTTGCAGCCCCTCCCCCTGGCCAGCCAACCTCCTGTGGCCCCTCACTACACTGCCTGCAGGCCAACCTCCTATGGTCCCTACCCCTGGCAGGCCGGCCGCCTCTCCCCCGCCCCCCACCCCACCCATAGGCCTTGATCACTGGCCAGGCCAAGGGACCCCACCTATGCACAAATTCATGCATTAGGGCTCTAGTCAAGGATATAAAGCAAAAGGTTTGGGGAACTTTAAAGGTTGAAAGGTTGGCAGAGAAAGGTAGAAGAGGGCATTAACTATAAGATGCATAAGTTCTGGGGATTTATTGCATGGCATGGGGACTATATTAACAATTCTGTATTGTATACTTAAAATTTGCTAAGAGAATAGATCTTTGTTTTTAACACATATGCATAGAATGATAACTATGTGATGTGAAGAGTGTGTTTAACTTTATTGTGGTAATTGTTTCACCATGTACTAGTATGCAAATATCAATCATCATGGGATAAACCTTTCATTTACATAATGTTAGTTGTCAATTATATTTCAATACAGCGAGAAAAAAATTAAAATTAAAACAAGAAGCATGGAGGGACCTGGAGAGTACTATGCTAAGCGAAATAAGCCAGTCAGAGAAAGACAAGTATCACATGATCTCACTCATAGGTGGAACCTAATGAACAAAATGGATGAACAAAATAGATCCAGAGACATGGAAATATGGAACAGACTGTGGAATCTCAGAGGGAAGGTGGGGGTGGGTTAGTGGATGTGTGGGAAGTGATCAACCAAAGAACTTGTAGGCATATATGCCTAACCCATGGACACAGACAATAGGGTGGTGAAGGCCTGGGGTGGGGGTAGGGGTGAGGGGCCGAGGGTGGGCTAGAAGGGGTCAATGGGGGGAAAGGGGACATATGTAATACTTTCAACAATAAAGATTTAAAGAAGGAGAAAGAGAAGAAGAAGGAGGAGGAGGAGGAGGAGGAGGAGGAGGAGGAGGAGGAGGAGGAGGAGGAAGAGAAGGAGGAAGAGGAGGAGGAGGGGGAGGAGAGGCTCCTTTTGTTTGCCTAGGTTTAAATTCACTTTGTTTTCCAATTGACATTTATCTTCCAAAAGCTGGTTTGTGCTTCAATGACAATGGCAATAATGCTTCCTTTGTGAATCTATTTGTGTGACCTTGGCCAAACCAGTCTGAGTACAGCACAGAGCACACACTTGCTTCTCTTCCAAATGGTACTTGATTTTGCTGTCAGTGCCACGTAAATGGCACACAGATATCACAGTTGTACCTCCATACAGTGGTGGGCCAGTCCCCAGTGCTTCTAAAGGATGAATGTTTTGATTCTGAACCAAATGATACAATCATACAGACTAAGCCTATCCTGACCAGGCATGCATCCTCTCATTAATTAACATATGTAGCTAGTTTTTTAAAGGGGTTACTTGGGCACTGGAGGGCATATCAAGATTAATCCAATATAGCTCTCTCCCCTAAGGATCTTGTTACGGTTATTCTTATACTTCCCCTTCTGCCCATTTCTAAAAATTTCTCACTTTTCTTCCTGGAACACCATATTAAGATTAGATTTGCTTCCAGGGAATGGCCAGGGCTTAGAAAAATGAATCTCCTGCTTGCCAGGTTCCCCATACAGACTCTGCCAAATCAAACGTAGTGCCAAAGGGAATGTGTGCTTTGTTTGATCAGCACTGATTTCTGAGCTGGGGCCTGGAAAAAGAAAACATGGATTTTGTCAGTATCTATAGAGCCGGAGAAAAGTGTCCTGATTGCAATCTGTCCTAATTACAGCTGTGCTGGTACCAAATGTGGTGCTCAGAACATCTACTGTGGTCTCATAGCAACCCAACTCAATTTCTGCATGCAGGAAATGCTAGGGCTTTTAAAATAGATTAGCTGTACAACTTGTCAAGTATTCAATTCCTGAGTTGGAAGTGGCTTTGTCTTTGATAACTTCGCCATCCTCATAAAAATCCTGTCTCTACTACCTACCCAGAATGTCAGGTTCCTCCTGATCCCCAGGATGATCCTTAAATATCTACCTTGAACTCATGACGATGATTGGATTCAACATTATAATTGCACATGCCTGACTTTTCCACTCTGTCAACAGCCTCTTTTCTGGAGTATCTCCCAATGTGCATGTCATACCCTGTTAGGTAGGCTTTGAGCCTATAGCAATACATCTCAGAGTTTTATGAGGAAAGGTCACATTTAATTCTCTGTCATTTTCAGCACTTAACACATTGTTAATACTTTGAAAAGATGAAACAATTTCTTAACATACGTAGGTGTAGGGCATTTATAAACTTTAAACTACTTATGTTTGTTATCTTCTGCAATTCCCTCACTTACCCTGTGAGGTATGGCAAATCCCTCTTTGACAAATAAGGAAACTGAGGCATAGAGGCTAAGTGGCTTCACTGATGCCACACAAATAGCGACAGAACCATATTTAGGATCAAGTTCTCCTGACTGCTAGTTTCAGACATTTTTTTTGTTAAATACTGTCTAGTCACATCCTTATTCTCTGACAGCTATCCCCACCAGAAATCTCATTTTAATTATATATTTCATCCCTTGAGTCCTTGCAGTGTGGCTAGCATTTACAAAATCATGCTGAGTGGAGGCAGTGAACACTGTCTGGGTTGCTCAAAGTAGCAAAAAAGATATAAGGACAAAATCAGCAGACAGATTTTTTTCAATGACTCTTTGAGACAGGATAATGCAACCTCAAATCCACGTGGACACCAAGTTCTGATGAAGCTGCTCGTCACGAGACCACAGGTGCCTTTCTCACAGCCACTCCAACTTGGTTTT